TCAATTAATGCAATTTTTTAAACAGGTGGCAAACCCCCTCAAAAATATTTTCGTTAGTAAACTTTCCTAAACTCTCTCTTTATCTCTCTCTAGCTTTATACCTATATTGCAATACTTAATTTATCTTATTAATTTAATTAAACCAAAATTTGTAAACAGGTGGCAACCCTTCACAAAAAATTTTGCAGCTATAAGCCTTCTTAAACCTCTTTCTTCTGATAGCCATATTGCAATATTTAATTTATTTTATCAATTTACCTAAACTGCAATTTTTAAACAGGTGGCAACTCTCTAATTTTTTTCTTCTACACTTTATCTTAGACCTCAAAACCTGCATTAAATTCCAAGCATTATAGCCCGAACACAATGAAAACGCTCACAGCTGTCAAATTACGCGACGGCTGTGAATGTGGCCAGATTAGTTCTATTTCTATTTTTCCAGCGACAAATATGGTTATTCTTCTTCTTTCACAAAAAACATACAGCCAGAAAGACAATAATTCTAAATGATTTGGCTTCAGAAGCAGTATACATAGTTCATTTTGATATTTGCTTAGAAGATTGATAATACGACACTAATAAAAACAAATGTAGGTATGTATGTAATGTACCTACTTAAGTGAAGTTCATAAAATTTGCATTTATTTACTCTTGTGCTCGACTGAAAGATAAGTCTACAAAATTTAAAAATTCCGTGATGAAATTATTTATATGAGGTTACTCGTCAACAAAAGATGCATGCATATCGTCAGTGATACTGCAAAACGTTCTATGTTACTTAATACCTCTGGTGGTTAATTGATATTTTATCTATATCTGATCGCTTCTGGCAATAGTTCATTTTCATCAGCCAAAGGTAGAAAGTATTGTCATTCCTTCATTAGGGTGTAACGATTTGCTCTTGCATTTCGGTGCAAGTAAGCGACCATCTAAGTGTCAAGGGTACTAATAGACATAGACCATTTTGCAGTATCACCGATGATATGCTATATAATTTTTGTTTGCTTTTTACCCGCTATAAAGACATGAAGACTAATGTTATAAAGTTGTTGCCTAATTTTAGTTCCTAAAGAGCCTGTAGTGCTAAATGATTCATTTTGCAATAGAATAGCGAGCATTTTTATCTGAGGATACCTACATATGTACACATTTGTAGGTAGCAAAGTTTAGTAGGCAATTTTCTCAAAAACAAAAATTTAAAAAGTGGGTTAAACTTTTCTATAAGGGTAGTAAATAGAGCAGTATACTAGGAGTCATGGAAAGGCCAAAAGACACATGTTGTGTTATGTCACTACCACAAATGTGTCAAATTAAAACCTAAGCTTTATTTTTCTTCTTCACTGGAAGGGGCTTGTACGTAGCTGGTACCTAAGCCGCGCACAACCCATTGCTGGGACGAGGACGCCGCAAGAGTCGGCATTGAAACTGTAGCTGCATACCCGGAACAAGGACTATCTATACCTCATTGCACTTATGACAGTATGAATTATAACCAGCATTCATTTTGACGTTATCGGTGAAAAATTCAGCTGTCGCCCTAACGCAACCTTATCAAATTCGCATTGGTGACTAGCCTCGGTCTACTATGAATAGTTTACAATATGTAGATTCTTTAATAGATATTGAGAGTTCCTTTTTTAATGTTAGTGCAGATTCTATACACATGTAAGGTGCTTATAATGAGCGAAATTATGGAGAGTGCTCTGAATAATTTGTTCTCCTGATCTGAATCCGGAAAGGGTCTCTCACACTGCCTGAAATATATGGAAGCTATTCTTGATCCAAGTGCAATCCTGCCCAAGGGAAGCTAGGAACATTCGGCTCTAACTATTTATTGGCGATGAATAATTTTTCGAAACGTCAGTAATTACCAGCGCAATAAAAAAGTTTCGGGCTTTAGGATATTTGAATGAAAGACCTTTCGGGCACAGTGCCATCCTATATTGCAGCTGACATATCAACGGCAGCTATCCACAATAGAGGCGGGATGAGTAAATGATGTGAAATTTTTTTTATGAATGACATTTACTTGTCCCTCTCTAAGCCCAACTAGTTTTTTTTATCAACTGTCATCATTACTTTTTTCCACCTGACTCTATATATTCGAAATAATGTGTGGCGCAACTAAAACGAAGTCTTCGTTGGGTTTTTTTTTGTACATAGTTTGAGTTAAAAAAATTCCAATTAGATTTGGAATTACTACTAAATACCAGTACAATATGAAATAGGTTATTGTCTATTTTAAATATTCATTATGGAACGAGATAGAGATGCGATAAGATTTTTCACTACTAACAACTTAGGAACTCAACGGCAACCAATATTAAGCTTTTCATGTCTATAGAGGTTTTTTTTTTGTACATAAATGTGCACTATAATCTTTTGCATAAACATCATTTGAGATTTGTTTGGCTACCGTTGATAGGAATCAGCGACTCCTGCTGCGCACTGTCTGAAGTAGAAATGTCTGAATTGACCCAGTAGGCAAAGATTGCTTTTGTTTTTCTACGCATAATTCTCCGCAACATTTAAAATTTTTTGCGACAAATTGTAGTCACATATATTTTGCCACGCAAAGTAAATATTAGCTGGGGAGCACCTTCAAAAGGAAGATCATAGAATGAAGCGCTTTTCCGACCATTTTTGTTTGGCTTGAAAAGATTAAGCTTTCGCATGGGTCCGCTTCCTGGACAACGGCAAAAGGAGAATTTCTTCCTAAAGCGAGCAAAATGAGCCACGCAAATCCCAAGCATCTATATTAAATATGCCACAAGAAAATTTTGAACTCTCTTTTTCGAGGACACCGTGGCATCTGACATACACACTAAAATGTGAAATCCGATATACATATCTCTAAACCCAATCACGTTGGGTAACTGAAACTTGGCAAGGTTGCATAGATTGCAAATACCCTACCTACGCCGAAAAATGGCAGGTACTGGAAAAAGGGGTGTGGCACCTCCCATACAAACTGAAATTCTCACATCGCTTCTCTGTGGAACCGCTTATGCTAACGTCCTGAAATTGGACACAGCAACATGTGTTATCAGTACTAGAAATGGGCGCGGTATATCGGGAACCGCGGGACCCATGGTACCGATTTCAAAATGGCAAAGATGGGCGGTATCGGGAAGGTCTTTAAAAATTTTGCGAGCGGAACGGGATTAAAATCCTTTCCTGACACTCCCGATAAAACCTGCAACCTCCGCGAATTCCGAGAATCTTCCTTAAATACGTTTTATGAAATAATAATTTTTTTATGTTTTATGGACACGAAAATGAAAAGTAAGGCAAAAAATAAAATAACCGGAAGATGCCAGATTTTTTATTATTTAAAACTAATTTGAAAGACGTGTGAATGAAACTTAGTGATAGATTTCGGGACCCACGGAACCCGCGGTACAATTTTGAAAAACTTCGCGACGGGCGTGTTCGGGAATTAAAAAATTGAGTTTCGGGTGGATGTGATCGGGATTGAAATTTTTGTGCCCATCTCTAGTTTGAATCTAACATCAGATGGTTGTTTTCTTCTCAATAATACAGACGTTGTAGTTCTCACTGCGTTTGTACTTCTTCTTCTTCTTTTTTGGCCCTACAACCGTTTGTCGGTTTGGGCCGAGAACAAACAGCTTCTCCAATTGCTTCTCTCCTGTGCGAATTTGCGACAGTTGGTTATCCCGAGCGCAGACAGGTCCTTCTGCACTTGGTCCTTCCATTGCGTTCGTTGGCGCCCTTGCTTTCGTTGTAAACCCATGGGTGCGCGGAGTCGACGGATCTTTTCACCGGAGTGTTGTCATCCATGCGTACAACATGTCCAAGCCAGCGCAATCGCTGTTAAAAGCTCATAGAGTTCGTCATTCCATCTTCTCCGATACCCGTTCTCCACAAAAACAGGGCCGTCGATCTGGCGTAGAATAGTTCTCTCGAAAGCCCCCAAAGCCTTCTCATCTTTGTTCGACATCGTCCAAGTGTCTGCGCCATATAACAGGCGGGCTTGATGAGAGATTTGTAGAGCGTGATTTTTGTTCGTCGAGAGAGGACTCTGCTTTTCAATTGCCTACCAAGCCCAAAGTAGCACCTGTTGGCCAACAGTTATTCTTCGCTTGATCTACAGGCTGACGTTGGTGGTGGTGCTTATACTGGATCCTAGGTAGACAAAGTCCTATCGTTCGTGCTATTTAGACCAATTTTACTACAGGCCCAACTGTTTTCACGAAAATGCTCAATCATTTCTATTGCCCTTTCATAAAATAATATGTCTTTAATCATATTTACATAAAACTTATAAATCCTTCGCAGATTAAACTTTACACGAGTATTTAATACATGAAATGCAGTTATATAAACAGCAATATCAGCATCCAGTGTATACCTAAGTGTTTTTAGCAATTAAATCAGATAAAAGTGTAACAAATGATAACAATATTTTAAAGACGACTAAACAGCAGCTAAACGTTGCGATTATACATACAAATGTATGTGTGTATAGGTGCATATAGATAGTAGGTGGGTACGCCATAATTACAATACACAAAGATAATATTTGAAACAAATATGCAAACTTCAGATAGACAGATAGGCAGCTGACAATTTGACGGTCTATTTGACGGCCGTTGATCACCGTTTCAGTTCAGCGTCATCTCAAATACAAATAACTACTTAGTTAGCTGCTACTGCTGGATCGTTTGTTAGTTTATATTACTGACAGTATCCCTACGCGCACATCGATAGTGTCGAGCGATATCAGCTACTCCGACGAGTTTATAAAACACCCGCAGCAGCCGTATATTATCGCCTATTCACAGACAATCAGCCGTGACGCTAAGACAGCGGAGTGAAAAAGTGTTTCGATTGTGTTGTAAATAGCAGCCACTTGGGCCTACATTTGTTAAATTTTGGATATTTGTGAAAAAATAAAACTGACGTCGTACCCGCATAATTAAGGTGTTAAATGTGAAACATTGTGTATAATCTAGAATCGTTTCTAAAATTATTTTAGTTTATAGAGGTATAACTAAGTGAAAAAAAAACTACAAATCGTTTGCAACCATGGTTGAAATCGAGGATCATCACACAAATCATGAACATGAACACAGCACAGATGCGCAGGATAATCATGAGACGGGTGGCATCGATCGTGATATTGATGTCGAATCGCGTCTACTCGATAATGGCAATGTTAAGTCGAGTGAAAAATCGAACGGCGCGAAAAATAATGAAAAATCAGATCATGATCAAATAATGACGGAGGAGATTAATAAAATATTAAGAGATATGCCGTTAACGGATGATATGACATGCGGGTTTTGGATATTTAAAGGGCGTTTCTTTCAAAGGTAAGTAATACATACATACATAAATATTTACATACGGGAAATTGATAAGTCGCAGCCCATTAGTTCACATTGCAATTCGGTAGAGAATCTCTTACTCTAAAATGTATGTGGTATTATATACAACATTGATCCAATGTTTGAAAATATTAGAAAAAGAAGAGACATACCCATACACCAAAACGATCAGAATGTCGAGCTGAGGCGAATTAGTCTGTCGTCTATCAGCTTTGGATATAACCGACTGAAATTTCGTAAGCGGGTTCCTTTTTATAGGGCCTTTTCTCTAGTAGCTCTTAAAATTTATCCACTCTTTAAACACGAATTTTTTTCTGAAAAAATTTTTTCAAAAAATTTCTTTGAAATGAAGATCAATTTTAAAAGCAACTTGAAAAAAAAAACGGCCAATAATGTATTAGTCATCTGACAACTATAACATATAACACCCAACAGCTGATTGTTCAGATATGAGATATTGCGTTATTTCGCACTATTCTCATTTATTACACTGGTCCACAGTGGTTTTGGTTCGCGCAGCTGGAATTGTTTTTTGCAACCTAGGACCTTATGTTGATTACGTAAATAGAAAGGAAAATTGTATTTGCTATGTGTAGTTTTTGACATATTGCTACATAACGGTTTTTGATTAAAAAAGGTCGGTCAAAAAGTGTCTAATGTCTGGTGAATTCGTTAACCGATCAAATGAAATGTAATTAAATTTCCTATCCTCCATTGATGATTCACTCTTGATTAAAATACCAAGTTTTCGAGATATATGTGGGCAAAAATTAAAAAAAAAAAAAAAGAATTTTATTGCAAAAAAAAATTAAAATTTCCAATTTAAATTGTAAAAAATATATCGGTAAAGGACTTGTGAAATTTTTTTTTATACCTACACCACACCCTTGACCACAATTATTTTTCTCCCACGTGCAGTTTTGAAATTTACAACGGTTTTATATTTTAGATAGCTGAAATCTATATTTTCGTGTGCTCATTTTTACGTCCTGTTAGTACGTTGCTATAAACAAAATACGTTTTTAAAAATATCGACAACAAATCGTGAAGATATATCACCGGAATATACTGAAAATTCGCTTCAGATAATACGCTCTTTGAAATACATTTATGCAAGTTTTATGTACAGTATGTAATAAATAAATAAACGGTTTAAAATTCATAAACTGCACTTTATTTACATAAGACTAACAGAACTCAAACATTTTTAACCGACTTCAAAAAAGGGGAGGTTATCAATTCGTCGGAATACATAACTTTGGACCACGTGAACCGATTTCAATAATTCTTTTTTTATTGGAAAGATGACACCTCAAGGGTCGTCCCGTAATTTGGTTTAGATCCGATGATTGGATCATGAAGAAATTAACGGTACACGTAAATTTATATATGAGAATTGAAGTCGGTTATGTTCTTTCCTTAAAAACTACTTGTTTAATAAAAAGTTCTATAAACTCAAGATGAGCTCAACTTTCAAAAGTACCTAATAAAAAATTTTAAAAAAGAGTCAGTAAAAATAAATTTATTGATTCCAAGAAATTTTTACACTTTTATGTTAATTTTTTCGATTTCTGGTTTCTGGTTTTCGATAGAGATGGTGATTTTTTACGATTTCACATTTTTTTAATATTACGAATACCGAAAAAATTATCTGAACTCTTAAGAAAAACGAAAAATTCATATAAAACGACGGACAAGAAATGGAAAAGAAATTTTCTTCTACCAAAATTTCTTAAACCAGTTTGCAGCTCTCAAGAAAAAAATGGTCGTATATTATTTTCTCATGAAAATTTACAGCAAAAGCAAAGCGCAAGCAACAGAAATTATAATAAATATTTCTTATGATTTCCTTGAGAGCTGGATTCTTAGCTTTAAGATACAGTTTGTATTTGTTATTATTTGTTATTAGCTTTAGGGGGGGGTTTGAACCCCAAAACCCAGCCCCTGTGTGCGCTAATGCATCATCCTCATCTTTTTCTATATATTTAACTTTGTTTTTACTTTTATCTTTATCATTTCTTTCAATTACATATTCCCCTTTACCTTTACCCTTATATAAGTAAAATGTTTAAATTTACCTTGTTCTTAATTTTTGCCTTTATCTTTACGCATCTTTCTTTTTGTTTTTATTTCTACCTTTGCCTTTGCCTTTAACCTTTTTTTAACCCTTTATTAGCAAGTTTTTGTTAAATAAATACCATGTGCATACACTCAAGAAGCATTTGTTTCAGCCCCAACCATTTCCGTTGAATTTTAAAAGTTACTACCAACCAACCAACCGCCGCTAAAATAGTTTAACTTCAAAAAACAAAAATCCTTACTACTGTTAAGTGGCTCATATCTCCAATCCTTCTCGAATCCATGTCTTATCTTTACTACATGCTTTAGCAATCCTTACAGCTTACTTTAGTAGGGGTTGGAAATGGATTAGACAAGGATTAGAGATCAGAGCCACTTAAAAGTAGTAACAGTTTTTATTTTTTGAATTTTGAATTGTGTCGTTATTGCAGAGGACCAATCCAGCTCTTACAGCAAGGCTTAAGATGGGCTTCCCTTTCCTGGTAGTTTAAGATTTAGCTCATTTAGTTTCGTTATGATTTCTGAAGTTGATAATGATGCGAGTTGAATTTTTGCAGCCATTCGAATTCGGGATGGCCAATGCATTTTTTATTGTTTCAATACATTTCCTCTACATAGAAAGCCGTCGAAGTTTATTGCACAAAAGTAGTTCAGAATCTTTATTTTTTAAGGAATTCTTTAAATTGGCGATAATAGAGTGCTTTTGCCAAGATGTTGTTAAGAATCTTAACCACCATCTGGTGTAACCTAAACAGAAATCAGTAAATGATATAACTTATCGTTTAGGGAGAAAGACTAGATGCCTTAAGTGTGTCCTTAATCGCAAAATGGTTTATTGTAACTGAACCACTGAACACGGCCTCCTGCATACCTTCACATGGGTGTGTGTAAATTGTTATCCAAAATAACTTTTTTCGGGTTAAATGAGATTTTACAATGACAAAATGCAGTTAAGAATATTTTTGTGACATTTTCTTCTGTTTACAATATCAGCTTGGGTGTGGTTTCATTTGTATAGGAATTTCTAGAACGGCTTATTTATGCCATGGAAAGTGCAAAGCGCTCAAAGCTGATATTGTGAACATAGAAAAATTTAAAAAAAAAAATCGCTCAAAACTCCCTACAGTATCGAAAAATTTTTTTCGAAGTTAATTTTTCTACCAAAATCACTTTTTATACATTTTATTGTAGGGGGGTAATATGTGCATGTATGTTACCTTATTAAAGAAGGTTCTTTTGAAATTCAGCTTTGTACAAAGTTCCGTTGACTGCTCACTAAAGCTCTTATAGAATTAAAAAAACAATACTATATCAATTTTTATTTTAAAATTATATATGAAATTCTTGCTGATTTTTAATTAAATTTTCTCAGATTCGCAAATCAAACCGCCTATGTATTACTCTACGGCATGGTTGGCTGTGTCTTCTCAATGACTTATGCCTACTTTAATGGCACAATCACAACAATAGAGAAACGCTTTAAAATACCATCAAAGAATACAGGTATTATATCAGTGGGCAATGATATCAGTCAAATGATGGTCTCAGCTGTACTCAGTTACTATGCGGGTAAAGGACACAGACCACGTTGGATCGGCTTTGGTAATAAAAACAAAAAAAAACATTTGCTTAGTTCCTGGCTTGGTCTAAATGGTACTATTTTCGCTCCTCTATTTGCAGGCTTACTAACAATTGTGATTTTCTGCTTAATGACTGCGTTACCACACCTCCTTTATGGCCCTGGTGATGATGCTTTGGCGTTAACTGCGGAATTTGGCGCTCAACCGGATGAAAATGCTACCATGGAAGCAATACAGAAGCAAGGTTCGAAAACGTTATGCCTCCTAAGTGGCCGCGGGGCAGAGTGTGAGGTAGGCGAAGGCAATTTGGCACCTCAACTGGTGTTATTCGTTGCACAATTTATCTCAGGTATTGGCGGCTCACTATACTACACGCTGGGCGTTTCATATATGGATGATAATACGAAGAAATCACGAACTCCAGCATTGCTAAGTGAGTGCGAGGGAATTTAATGTAAAATGCTGGGGAAAAAATAAAAAATCATGGCCGAAGAATTGAGAGGACGGTTCTACCTTACTATGTTTTTATCATGGTAGATACATAAATACACTGCCGGAAAAATGTATTGGCACAGGAATTTTGCACAATATATGCATCAATTTCTATTCAAATATTTTTCCGCTATATTTTTATAAAAATATGGTTCATTCTACAACAAAAAAAAACACAAAATATGCAGTTTTGTAGCCCTTTAAATTCTAGTACAGAAAATGCAAGTTCGGAGTTAGTCAAAAATTGCATTGAGTTTTGAGAATTTTTTTGTTGAAGGTGTTTTTTGCATTTTTTCCATATAAAGTATTTTCGAAATTTTTTTTGTATGGAAGAGACTGCGTGAAAAAAATTGCCAAAAATCAACGTTAATTCGTAGCTACTTATAACTTTTTCTTTTTTGCAATAAAATTGATCGGGCTACATATCTGCATACTCAAAAAAATTCTGGAAAATTTTATGAAAGTTAGTTAAAAAGTTAGAAAGAGTTAAAAATTTGCATGAAAATTTTAGAAATTATATTTTTATATTTTTTGTTGTAGAATGAACCATATTTTTTTATAATGCCGGAAAAATATTACAGTAAAAATGATTGCATATATTTTAAAAAAGCAGCTGTGCCAATACTTTTCACCGGCAATGTATGTACATATGTATATGAATGTCACAATTTTTTATTTTTTTCCCAAAATTCATATCACCAATCGTAATAGAAAAAAACTATTAAAATATGCAGTGTAATGCGAAACTTTCTCCACCACTCATTCGTAAAATATTTGACTAAATCCCAAAAAATGTTTGCTCAAAATTACCTTTTATGAATCCTATTAAGGGCCCAAGTTTAAGCGTGATCGTATAAAAAAAAATTCCACTGATCACTTTACTTGGAATCGCTCATATGTATGACAAATGTAAGACATTAGATAGGAGCCTTGAGGATCGTATATACATACGTATATTACTGTTTTCAAAAAGATGTTTTATTTGAATCTTAAAAAATCTCATTGTCATATAATTCGCTTACCCCTTGTAGACGTGTGGAGTAACTAAAAAACGGTAATAAAGCTTGTTTGGCAACTAAAATTTATCTTAGATTAAATTACTTTGCGTGTGCAATAACTAAACAAACTTATCTTTAAAATCTTTTATAATGATATTTATGACCCTTTTATTTACCCTGCTAAATTTGAAACAAAAGTGTCAAATGGAGTATTTGCTTTTCAACCGTAAATCAAGAGGTGGTTTAATATTCTCCAACATGGTAGCAGTAGAAAACTTGTTTATCATCATAGCACACATACATACGTACTTACTCTGACCCAATCTTTCAGGTTTATCATACTTTCTGCGTATGCTTGGTCCCGCGTTCGGTTATGCGCTCGCCTCTTTCTGTCTGCGCGTCTACATCGCGCCAAATTTACATCCTGTCATCAATAATCAAGATCCACGCTGGTTGGGCGCCTGGTGGATGGGGTGGCTAGTGATTGGTGGTATGATATTCTGCTCTGGTGCCTTTCTTACAATGTTCCCTAAAGAACTACCACGTGCTGCGGCTAGACGCATGGTCGAAGATGAGCGTCGTAAACGTGCAACGTTAAAGGAGAGACAAGATAATCTTAACAAAGAACCAACGGAGAAGGATAGACTAACTGCTGAGATGGAGGAGAAGCCAAAGGAGGAAACCAAAGCTTCTTTCAAGGATATGTTAACTACTTTTAAACGGCTCACCACCAATAAGACGTTAATGTGCAATAATTTCTCCTCTGTATTCTATCTCTTCGGTTACACGCCTTACTGGATTTTCACACCTAAATACATTGAGATACAATATCGGCAGTCAGCAGCTACATCGAGGTAAGTTAGAGAGCATTCAAGTGCGAGCTAAATCTAGAAACAATAAGCGGTTTGCTGAAAAATTAATGAAAAAATGGATAGGACTTTCGCGACAGCAAATTTTACACGCACAAAACTAGTATATAAGCAAATCTAAAATGGTGGCACACTTATCGTAGACAACGCATTATCTTCAGTTTTGCATAAACAAAAAGATTCCATCTCAAAATTGTTTTTAAATTAAAACTTAAAAAAGTTATACTATAAAAGTAAAAATAATCCCTCGTGCTGGGTAAATTTTGTATGGGGGAAAATAAAAGGCATTTGATCGTACTGTAATAGTAATGTTTTGTTGTCTTAAGTTTAAGACAATAATTATTGGCCACGAAGGATTAATTTAAAACATATCTTTAGCCCGCGAAATTGATTCAAAGTTTGTGAATTTGAAAAACTAAATTTTGGCTTGTAAGATCTAGACGATATATCAAAAATTATTCAATTTAGTATCTCACGTTCATATATCATTTTTCAATAGGACTACAAGTTTTCGAGATATTAGGATTACAAGTTTTGGAGATATTTAATAATAATTAAATAAAATTTAGGTGGGCAGCACCCATCTCAAGTCCATTTATGTATACTTGAAAATTGGAGCGGAATGGTTTCATTAGCCAAGGAAGAAGCACATTTTTCGCGGTTTCTAAATTTACCGTTATACGAAAGTCGTAGATATTATTTAAAAATAATTAAATATTGGCATGTTTATAACAATTTTAGAATGAGTTTCGAGTGTGCCAATAAAAATTGTAAAAATGGAATTTTAATTTCTCAAATCGTAGACATCTTTTACTCAATGTAATTTTTTTGCATTTGGTGGCACACTAGCTTTACTACACTAGATTGGTTCGTTTTGGTAAGAATAATATGTTCACCGTTTAATTGTAAGAATTTGAAGCACCCTAAATTTTTAAAATTAAAAAATCATAATATTTCAAAAATTACAACTTTATTTAATTTGGTGGCACACTTTGGAACTTTACAGATATGTTGTATTTGATGCCAATGTTCACTGCCTCTAATATGAATATACTATTTTAAAACTTCCCAAAGTTATTAAAAAAAAAAAACAATTATGATTTTTTCGAGTGACAATGAAAACTTAGTAATTTCGGTACTTTTTCGCCTAAATTAACGTTTTGAAGCTCAAATTGTGCAATACTTGATTTGTTTTATTGTACTTGCATCTGGAACTCCATTGATTAAAATATATGCAAGAAGAATGCTTTAGCGTATTTTTTTCTGTCCAGAGAAGGAGGTGACACTTAAAAAAACAACTCGGGAGATTTGCTTATATTCGCGAAAGTAGGGGCCAAAAATAGTAAAAATGAATTTTTTTAAAGGAATAAAATGATTAAATTTTTTGGTGCAAAAGGATGAATAGATATTGAAAATGTGCTTTTAAATTTTATAATTGAATATCCTTGAAAGTTTGCAATATTTATTTTTAAAGAAATTATATGCTAAGGATTAATATACACACAACCACATCCTCGAATTGCGTCCTTGTAATTGTAATAGCTTAAAAAAAATAAAAATTTATCAAAAGTGTATCTTTTTCAATACCTTAGTATTCGTGAAATCAAAAACTTAATTTTTTTAATTTTACAGAATTTTTTTACGGACCGACAAAAAGTATGATCGAAACTAAATGTTGTTCTCCCAGTTTGGTTCCCCCCTCTTAGTGTTCGCCCCTCTTAGTGTTCGCTCCTCTTAGTGTTAAGTTCTCAAAACTTCTTCTCGTTTTATTCTATGGAAAAACTTTCCCTAGAGTTTTGTTCTTACTTCATCTTCTTTGAAAACGTTATCGGTACTTTCGTTCTCATTGGAATGATTCCCGAAAGTTTCTTTCTCTTTCTGTTCTTTTCGAGAACGTTCTTGAGAGTTTGGTTCGCATTTGGTTCTTTACGGATACGTTGCCGAGCCTTTTGTTCCGCGTTCAAACTGCTCTCAATACTTTTGCTCCCATTTAGTTCTTTTAGGGGAACGGTCTTGACATAAAATTTCGTTCTCGTGTAAAACTAAACCAAAATCAGAGCGCGTTCTCGGTCCCTGGAATTTTTACGTTCATTTAGTTGTAAATATGGTTATTCAACATAGCGCTGAGTTTTTTTTAGTATTTTTTTTATTTATTAATATTTTTGAAATTTCCAAGTCCTTCTAAAAAAGTTTCTGACATCAGAGGAAAACGAAAAGCACAGTTTGCTATATTTGGTCCATAGTTTCCTGACTATATTTATTGTTTCGTGTATCTCGATTTTTTATTTTTTTGTTTTGTTTTCGCCGTACGGTGTAGTATACGAGTATTGTAATATGTTTTCAATATATTTTCCGCAGCTTGGTCACTGGTACCGTCGCCTTGGCTTTTTCTGCAGCCGGTGTGCTACTCTCAGGTTTTGTAATATCGCGCTATAAGCCACGCGCACGTTATATGGCCGCTTGGAATGTAATCGTTGGATTCCTGACCGTGGCTGGCATCCTGGCTTATGCTTTTATCGGTTGTCCAGGCAATGAGCAGTCGGTGATTGTCAACATACACGACAGGTAATTAATATGCATACATAGAACTGCATGCGAACGCAGACAATATACTCGCAAATACTGTGAATATTTTTTGATGCCACTGATATTTATCCAAACACTAGCGCCCTCAATAGCACTCCCACTTGTAATTCGAATTGTCACTGTGATTATGTGCGTTACTCACCGGTTTGCGGGGAAAACAATATGACTTATATATCGCCTTGCCATGCCGGTTGCAAGAAGCAATATAAAACTGCCAATGGGCGAAAGGTAAGCGCGATTTCTTTGTTTTGATTCACAATTTTTTCTAAATGGTATACAAAAGTAAATATTTGTTTTACTAATTTGCAGATTTACTATGACTGTTCTTGTATACCTAACAACAGCTTTAATAAAAGTTCGAAACCATTATTTAAACGTCTCACTGTGATGGATCTGAAATCAGAGAACTACGATAATGATGACGGCAATATTACTACTACTATAAGGCCAGAATTGCCAATCACAACGTTGGATAAAGCATTACCGACATCACTTAGCACAGCTTATACAGATGTGAGTTAAAAATATTAGTGTAGAAGTGCCGCTATCTTTGCTAGGGAGCGCTGACTCTAATGTTTGATTTACTTAGGGCAGTTTGTTCAATGTCTGGCTATCACTACCTCCCAGTTAAACATCTTTATCGACCTTTTCAAAATCTTGCATATAAAATGTGATCGATAAAGCAGTCACTGTACTTAACCGCAGCTTCGACCTCCGATTTGAACAACCGGCCCTTAGGCTGGTGAACTATATGAAATCTTCGTCTTCACCTCGATAGCTTCTGCAGGAAAAACTTGTTGACATAATTACATACATATCTATATATGCCTGACAGTACTGATACAATACATAATACGACGATAGCGGTAGAACCCTAACTGCGGATTTTTTAAAGTATCAGGGATTTGATGTCTATTCCAGCTTTCCCCAATTATTCAGTCTGATACTTTAAGTATTCTGAAGACTTCCGATGTAAGACCTGTTAGAAAACCTGAATTCGAGAATAAACATTTTAAACAGTTTGATTGTAATGTTAACCTTATGGGGAAACCAAAATATGTTCGTCTATAACTTTTGAAATAGGCTAGCTGGCGGGCATATATTGCTTATGACCACAGATATATTTGTAAATGAAATAGCTAAAAAAGAGCTAGGAGCTAAGGCCCAATTTTCGGAGCTGAATAGAAAAATAAAGAGCTAAATCTAGTTCCCAAAGCGCCAAAATGGTAACAATGTTGCCATCCGCACAGGCCTGCACGTCGAAGATATTTTCACTAAGAAGGCAGAGTAGCTCGCCTGCAACGATGGACCATAGCAGAGGGGAGATCCCTCCCCCCCTTTCGTTTCTAAGAATCTTACATTTTCCTGTCCTTGAGTGGATATAATGGTGCTGGATTTAAGGACGTTTGCTATCCAGCGGCTTGTGGTCTCATCAACCCCTTCCAGCCGGACGCTATTGTCTATTAGAGAATAGTATCGAAAGCGCCCTCCACGTCCAAGAAACATCCCAGTGCTACCACTTTGTCCTACAAAAGACTTTTCAATTTTTCTTGTTAGTATGTCTTACTAGAAGATGGAAATTTTAATATCTATGTAAAGGGTTCTCGGTAAGGAAACTATCCCTGATATGTCTGTCTACGATTCTCTCCATTGTTTTTAGTACAATGGACGTAAGCCTAATGGGTCGATATGACTTTGGTTGGTCTGCTGGTTTTCCCCCTCCTTTGGTTTGTAATGGACTGTCCTTTCCTGCCACTGTAGTAGATGGGACCCCACGAAAAACTTGCTACGAAAAGCCGTATCAGAAAGGGTGGCAAGGGAGGAAGTCCCTTTTGAAGATGAGCTGGGAAAATTCTTTATGCTCCATGTGATGCTCCAGGTGCTTTCGTAGGAGCTAAGGCAGATATAGCGCATTTTATTCTATCCTCGTTGAACCGTCCTTTAGCGATTCTTCTTTGTCTTGCCATTAGTGCAAGTTCTTGAAACACCTCGCTCATTATACGATTTTGGTAACCACATCCAACAAGATTGTACAGAATTCATTCTTCGACTATAGAGCAAGCCCTTTACAAGGAAAGTGTACTGAACAGATTTGCAACATATTCTGCAAATGCTGGATATTTGCATAGCAAGTATTATTCAACTAAGCCTCAATAAAATAGATGCAGGTCATGTTTATGTATGCGGCTGTATATCGGTGAGTGGCGTAATGGCAAAACGGAATGTTATTACACGAATTCTAGAGAGCTGCTTCACAGTTCTCCACCCAATCGCCAATTAGCTTATTTTTCTGCCATAACTGCATTAAATAAATCTGTAGTTACTCCCGAAATCCGGGACACAATACTGGCTTTAAATATCCTACAAATAGTTGTATTATTAATAATTGTTCTTTAATATTTTTTGAATTTTTCTTTTCTCTTCCAGGCTCTTCTCGGTGGTCAGGCGATAACCGGCGCATGTCCTGTCAATTGCTTTGCTCAATTTGTCACATTTCTCTCGGTGATGTGTTGCCTCAAATTTGTTGGCGCCACAGGACGTGCCTCAAATTTTCTCGTGTCCGTACGTTGCGTGCCTGAGAAGGATAAAACGGCAGCAATGGGTTTTGGTATGATGATGATGTCCATGCTAGCATTTATACCAAGTCCCATATTCTTCGGCTGGGTATTAGACCGTATTTGCCTTGTGTGGGGTAAAACGTGTACAAATAAGGGCAATTGTTGGCTTTATGATCCAGAATCACTGAGGTAAGAAAAAAATTAGGATTGGCTTTATACGCCAAATGAAAATCTGCTATAATTACGAATTACTTTTAGATACACACTCAATATAACCGCTTCAGTATTTGTTGCGATAGGAGCCTTATTCGATTGGGGTGTCTGGTATTATGTGAAAGATCTGAAAATCTTCGATGAGGAGGTGAAAGAGGTTGAAATGAAAATTGTACAGCATGAAGAAGAAGTTAATTCCATTAAGGATTTAGAAGCATAATTTTTATAAATCTTAAATATATTCAGACGCAGTCTTTATTTTAAGACATTTTATAAAGTGCGTGTGTCTTTGAGCTTGAGTGCCCGGTTGAAAGTGTGTAACTGTGCCAAATTTAGTCTAATAACGAAATTTATGTAAATATGGAAGCCAATGTTTACTGTATAATTGTATGTATGTATATGTAGCTATTAGATTGATAAGAGTAAAATAGGTTCATAGTTATTTTTGTAAATAAAATCATTTCAAATTATGCTAATTTACCAAAGTTATAGTCAACATGTGTGCACGCAGATAAAGGTCTGTTTATATGTACGGTCAAATGTTGTGCTTTGTTATAATTTTTGATAGGAAAAGTACTGTATACTAAATATTTTGATTGTAAATACTACAAACGAATTTTCAGTATGTACGCCATTGCTTAAGAAGAAAGTATTAATAGCTACGATTTATGTACATATGTATGTATTAACACATAAGATTAGAATATATATAGGTTAAATATGTACCTCTCAATTTACAAATCGTTATTCTAATAAAGAGAGGTCTAACTCACTTTATTTTCACCAACAACTTGAAATAATTAAAAAAAAAATGTCTGCAGCTATTAGCAAACTGCAGGCTTCAATAAAATTTTTAATAAATTAAATAATTTTACTTTTTATTATGTTTGGAAATACATTTTGAAGAAAGAACAATTTTAAATGTAATTTCTATTTTAATGTAACGATATTTAGTACGATTATGATTATATTAAGGTGTATCAAATAATAAAATTTATTAAATTTTAACACAATTTACTTGAAGCTTTTTACGCTTGTTGTCATAGTTTATTCGATAACCTGATAGTTGTTAATAATTTTTAAAAACTATCAGGATTTGGCGTTCGCGTGCGCAGGCGAATTGAGAGAGCAAAGTGACAGTTCATTTGGAGGGAAAGTAATAGAAAATTGTTTACTATTTGAAAATTTGCCACCAAGAGAAAACAGCTGATCAAGCTCTTCTGGCTGCAATCTGATGATTTTTAAGTTTAAAAAATTTGTGGAAAAATCTGGCCTAAAAACTATAGGATGTACCAAAAAAATTAGTAGTTACACTTTGGCATATATACGGATGGGACATTCGAATTCATATCCAAACAAATAAAAATGTGAAATCAAAAACTAATAACACAGGAGTCTTTTTAATCTTTGGAGAGGACTGAGGACTTTTCGTGGCAAAGGAGGACTATCCTCACGAAAGGAGGACGGTTAGCGAGCCTAGTTGTCACACAAACAGGATTTTTGCCAAACACTTTTTTAGCTTCATCTGCCATTAATGGACACTTAACACGAAAGTAGGAAGTAAACAATAATGGATCTGCAGTTGTAGCTAAGCTGCTCCAAAGGCCCTGGAAACTGCTCGAACCTCTTCAAAGTTAGTCCAGGAATGTAAGTTGAGGCTAAACTCCGTTACAAGATGGAATGAGCTTGAACTTGTATGGGTGCCAGGACACTACGGTGTTCAAGGTAACGAACTGGCTGATGAATTGGCGAACTGCGGTTCTCTGGAGCGCCCATTTGGACCGGAGCCAATTGTAGGGCTAAGCATAGCGGGAACGATCCGGTGCATCAAGGATCTCATAAGCAAAACTCATGAGAGCCATTTGTGCACTATTGACACCTCCAAAATGACCAGGTGTTTCCTGAAAAGGCCTGACAGGGTGGTAGCAAAATTTCTTCTCAGACAAAGAAGGAGTGATCTACGACCCCTGGTAGGACTTATTACGGGGCACAATCCATGGGGACGACATATGGTCACCATAGGCATCATTGACGATCCACTGTGTACATCGTGTTTGGAGAACGAGGATAGTACAGAACATTTTCTCTCCGCTGTCCGTCCTTCGCCAGACTCACATTTTTTGGTCGGGTGTATGTACTGAGAATGGACGACGTACATTCTCTTTCCCTCAACAAATTACTAAAATTCACAATGGAGTCTGGTAAATTTGTAGAGGAGTAATGAACTCCCACCCCCACCTGCATATCCCTTTCCTCTAAATCCTGTTTCTTGGCCTTAAGTACAATGGACAATACTGGAAAAATTTGTTTTTGGTTGTTCCGGCCACCCACAATTCCATTCCATTCTAAAAAAAAAGGTTAATTTTTTTTTTGTGCACACGCCTTAGTACAAGACGACTTCAAACACAAATCTTGCCTCCTGGATGATTGGTCGGTTGAAGTGGCGAGTTTAACAACTCCATTTAGCACTTATGCGTGCCTCTACTTTAGTATTTGAAATAAATCCGGACACTTTTTCGACGATTTTTTAATTGGTTAAATAAACCCCTGCCAAAACTAACCAAAACCCGTTATTGAAAATGTCAGTTAGAGGTGAAAGTGTTCCACAAAAATATTAAGCAGTAAATTTCACTAACGATCATTGCCACGGCAGCCGTTTCTACGCACCAGAATAACTCGGGTTTTGCTGTTGTTTCGGCGATCTAACCCCGTTTAGGTTGGCGAAATATCTCAAGCGTTGTGCGCCCATGGAGCTGTATCTGCTACGAACTCTTCTACTCAGGGCTAGCATCGAGTCAAACCCTGGCCGAGAAACTTACCCCTGCTGCGTGAAATACTGGAGTGCAACGGATGGAGTCTGCTCAGGCCTAAGGACTCACCGGCAGTGGACCGCAACATATGTGGCCCCCTGCTGTTCAAACAGAGCTTCCTCCATGGCACTCCCAAGTCCACTTGATCAGCTCAATGCAAACACAACCGCACCACAACAGAAATAACCCCACCACCACCCACACTCCGCCACCAACAACTCCTGGTTCCTCCAAACATCTGCATATGTGTGTCAGACCAGGATATTCCTTAACGTCACATCAGTCAAGTTCAACACCTGCCTTGGCTGGTGTCACTTTAGGGCATGTTCAGGTCTGCGCTCCACGAGAAATGGACAAAGAACTTCGAGGGCCCGTGCTGCGCTTCCATAGTCATCACTATTGATAAACCAGCGGACTTTTATTCCGCGGAACATCGAACCTAAGTACGTCAACTTTTCTAAGGCTGATTGGAAAGGCTTCTCTGCCCTCCCCACACCAACAGACGTTCACGTAAGTGAGTGTATGTATGTAAGTTCCGCAGGGTTGTCACTGCTGGTGAAGCTCGCTTCATCTCAGCCGGACACCCGTCCGACCTTTCCTGCTGAAGCGGCTGTTCTAACCGATGATGGGGATAACCTTCGCCAGGCCGATGACGGAAATCAAATCTCCACATTAGGAATCTCAATATGGAAGAGCACCAGAAGACTTGCAACTTCACCTCTAGTATGAGTAAGCTTTGGTCAGCCGTGAGGTCACTATCCAACTCGATTCGGATCCGGAGCGATGCGCGAGCTATTTTAGCCGACAATTCACGCTGGATCCTCCATGGCCTAACCCGCAACAGTCCTTTGGGAGAATAGTCCTCGTAGCGTTAGATCTGTCAAAGGCGTTTGACAACGTTGGTCACTCCACGCTACTACAAGACATAGAGGGCTCAAACGGTGGTCGGAGAATTATCTCACTGTCTAAGTTTAATATTTCCAAGCTCCTCCAACCACATGATAATAGCGTCCGGGAATGGAATTGATGACTTATGCTCGAAAGTAAACGGTTACCTCTACGAGCTTTCTCGCTTCTTCACTGCAATGAGCCTGACGTTATCCCCCACAAAATCTTCAGCAAACCCTTTTTATCAAGTGGGCGAAGGAGGTCAGCAACTGGGTATTTACGTTGATGACGAACACAACCACAATTGTCAATAAAGTACAGAGCTGCAACAAAGTCCTAGAGTCGCTAGCCGGCAGCACCTGAGGCATTTACATGACGAGGTGCAGATGCTCCCCATTAGGGAGCACAACACATTGCCTAGCAAGCAATACTCAATAGACGTGAGAACCCGAACAGACATTTACGTCAGGTACGTCAGAAGGCATCTCTCCAAACTGACAGACGAAGTTCTGAGGTTCATAAAGCAACCTCTGGATCCGACAGCATATCAACAGGCCATGAGCGGCATTCACAGGCAGTCAGTCTCAAGTTACGTAGACTCCAGACTTGTGAATGCCATTCTGGGCACACAACCACCTGACAAGGACGAGATAGAGCTTCGTTTGTTTCGGGAGACCCAAACAACAATAGCCCAACTTCGCTCTGGCTACTGCAGAAGGTTTAACTCGTACCTGTGCAGACTCGATGCAGATGTGTCCATCTCTTCGCATGCCCACTAAATTTCACTCAACTTTATTTATACATATGAATGTACTTAGTTTATATAATTTGTCATGAAAGCATATGCATGAAGATTAACAAGTAATGAAGTAATTAAAAGTGGATTTGTTTAAAAATAAAACCAATCTGTACTCCATTTTCAACTGCAAAACGGAATTTAAGATAATGCACCATTTACTAAATGCAAATAAATATATCGTAAAAGACGATAAGTGAAACGTATGTAGGTATTTGAGATATCAAATTGGCAGTTACTCACGGCAGCAGTGCACATTCAGGCTACGCTTACTTGTCATTTGATTCTTTCAGTTCTAAAATGGTGCAGCTTGAAGCGAAAATAATGAACTCAGAGGTTCACGGAAAGAGTGATGTTGAATCAAAATTGTTGGCAGAGACCAATATTAAACCGTCGCCATTCGAAGAGAAGGCACCGAAGAGGTTAAAGAATGTGGAGGATAGTGGCAATAAAACAGAAATCAATGCAATTCTACGCGATATGGCCATAACCGGGGATGTGCGTTGTGGTTTTTGGATATTTAAAGGTTCATGTGTTCAAAGGCAAGCGCAAAATTCATTTTTTATAAGTATAACTGGTGACTAGAGTGTGTGAGCGAACGTATGTATATTAGAGCGTACAACCTTACAAGCAAACAAACAAGGTTCGCCATACACCCCTGGGTATAAAGTAGTTTTGCAAGAGAATTAAAAAAAAAAAAA